ATAACTCTATAACTCTATAACATAACTCTTATAACTCTATAACTCAATAACTCGCTAACGTAACTGTTATAACTCTATAACTCTATAACATAACTCTTATAACTGTATCGCATAACTCTATAACTCTATAACATAACTCTATAACTCTATAACTCTATAACATAACTCTTATAACTCTATAACTCTATAACATAACTCTATAACTCTATAACATAACTCTATAACTCTATAACATAACTCTTATAACTCTATAACTCTATAACATAACTCTATAACTCTATAACATAACTCTATAACTCTATAACATAACTCTTATAACTCTATAACTCTACAACATAACTCTATAACTCTATAGCATAACTCTATAACTCTATAACTCTATAACTCTATAGCATAACTCTATAACTCTATAACATAACTCTATAACTCTATAACATAACTCTTATAACTCTATAACTCTACAACATAACTCTATGACTCTATAACTCTATAGCATAACTCTATAACTCTATAACTCTATAACTCTATAATATAACTCTTATAACTCTATAACTCTACAACATAACTCTGACTCTATAACTCTATAACATAACTCTATAATTCTATAACATAACTCTATAACTCTATAATTCTATAACTATAAATACGCATGTAACTGCACATGTATTAGAAATATAAATTTTGTAATCTTCATTTTAAGCGTATCAACACAGGTAAGTGTCCAATATGCTACGCACAATGTACAAAAAAAAAAAAGCATACTTGTAAATACCACTTGTTAAGAAACGTTCCTTACGTCAAATGCATCTGTATTGCACTTACACAAACTCGACAACTTCTCGACACTGAATTAATTAATTCGCTCTCCACGTTCAATCGTTCTCGGTTTGCCGATCCGAGCTTATCGGATGCCGGTACGAAAAAGCAACAAACCATAACGTGCGCGCAAATCTCATTTCGCCACGTGCCTCCATTTCCGCCGGCTGAATCTAATCATCGTCGTCTATAAATCAATTCCACTTCGGCAACGAGCGAGATCCAGCGAACACGCGAACGTTAATCGACACATTCGTCGCGTCGCTCTGAACGTTGAAACGCGACGACACGAAAACAAGAACCGTCGGAACTATTAAATTAGCGTCTCCATGGTTACCGATGGTGAAGGAAAAAAATCGGCGTTTCCGTAGAGACAGTCGAGACTCGGACGCTTCGTCAACCGGATGATCGTCTCGGATGATCCTAATCCATGCGTGATACTACAGTCCTCGCGCGTCAAGAAACTGTCGGGAGAAAACGTGGCTCGATTTTCAATCCCGCGGTGATCGATGCGAACTTCTCTCTGTCGTTGATTGTTCGATTTATCGGCGGTTTAACGTTCTCGGGTCGAGCCAACACAGAAGCCGGCCAAGTGTACGTATAATGGCTTACTCGTCGGCCCAGTTCCGTCAGGCGTACGCGATTCCATTCGCATCGTAACTTTGACGATGGAACTTCATTATCGAAGCGAGATTTCAGTTTTGCTGGTTGTTCAGTGGCTGTTGTTGTTGTTGCGCTTGTGTTTGTCAGATCTTTTCATCTGTGTGTGTGAAAGTCCTGTTATTTTGGGTGAGAAATTGTGTGATTGAATGGTGGAAAACAGCCAGTTGGAGTTCGTATGTGTATGAGTTTGTTCTCCATTTCGGTTCAGAAATATGAAGTGTTATTGTTGTAAAAACTTATTACGCGCGTAATTTAAATAAAGTAGATCATTCATCGTGAAAAATAATATCTCACCGAGTTTGTACGTTTGATGAATCATTCAGAAGCTACACTGAATCAAGCTCAAATTTGCAAAGTAAGAAAAGCGACAATGCTGCAAGCTTTTATACTTTTTTTTTTTTTTTCTTTTAATTTATCTCAAAACTTACTTTTTTCTTTTCTCTTCTTTCAGAGTGAAACACGAAATGCGTTTGTTGATCACTTTGGTTTCTAAGGTATTCTTGTCGATTTCAATTGCAAATGAACATAATCTGATCGTCCGATCCTGCTTATTTCAGGTGTGATTTAACCCAAAAGAAAAGAAAAGAAAAATATCCAAAGATCAGTGGAATCGCGTTCAGGAATGTTCTGCCTAAGAGGAAGGAACAGCGGCGACACGAAACTTGAAGGAATGTTAAAGCAGGATGATTTCGGCTGGTGGTTGAACAACGAAGACAATCCAAAGTCGTCGAGAACCGCTCGCAGCAAAGATCGTCAATCTGCAGGATCGACCGAGTCGATGTTTTCTTGCGTGGACTCGGACGATAGCGACAGTTATTTCCTCGCGCAGGAGTTCAAACAGGAATGCAACGACAATTACGAAAAGATAGAGCTGACGTCGTTAATTAACGAGGATCTGGACATAAATCTTATCGAGCAAGACGCGATTAGAAAAGAGACGGTAAGTCGATGTTATTTGCAATCTTCGAATGTTGAACTTCATCAATGAAATAAAATGAATTTAGCAATTTCAGTTTCAACGCGTTCGAATTTTTATCGATAACTTTGAGTTAACCAAGAGCTTAGATGAAAAATTCGTCGTCACACCGAGTTTTCGATCAATCGACGGGAAGAAATCGCGCGGCAGGTTTTGAAGGATCGTTGTAAAGGGGAGGTCTCCACTCTTCAAAAAACTAGTAGATTCAGTCGCGAAAAGGATTTCTCAATGTTTTCACATGCTACAAGGATTTATAACTCGATGAGAAAAGTGTCTTCACTTTCTCATCCGCTACGTGATGTAGAAACATCTTAGAATAGAAAATGAATTGCATCGATGCATTTTGAAAGATGGTTTAAAACGTTTACGCCTAAGTTTAAATATCAATAGGCTCTGTACGTAGACTTCTGTGACTGATTGATATATGCAGATATGTGAATTTAATCATCTTTCTATACAAAAAAGATACTTTGAAAAAGATATAAATAAGATAAAAAAATATATTTATAAAATCGACTTCGATACTGATAACTTGAATTAAATTGAATGTCAATGTTTATCCTTTATCCTTTCTAGAGACCACGAGGATCCTTGGTCCTCTCTGTTTTTATGTTTCTCTTTCCATGGATTCGGTGAATTTCTTTACAATAATACTATTACAATGAACAGTGTTCAAATGATTTAAGGCACGGCCATGATTCATTATTGCTCGCGTTATTTTTGAAGAGAAAACCCAGCAAGAGGACTAAGGGGGCTCGTTAACTCATTAGAAGGTTGGAAGGTTGAATTGCCATAGTCTGTGAGGCATCCTTTTCATGAATATTTAAGCAAAATGCGGTCCTCACAGAGTTGACAAATGATGTGATGGGGGGGATTTGTCACCATCTTGAGGCTAAAAATTCTTGAGACCCAATGGAAAGGAAAGCGAGAGAGAGAGAGAGAGAGTGTCTCTTCCCATTTTCCATCGGCTCAAGAGGATAGTAGAGAAATCGTTTAACTTCCAATCGGTACAGATCGTCTCTTGAGAGTTCCCCGATAATCTAGGAGTAACATTACGTTCAAATAGACTATCAAAGACAGTCCCTTGATAGTCGGCGTGCAGTAAGCAATACACTATGTTATAAAACCACGGTCTTTGTTGCGGATAATATTATAAAATATTATTATACATTATTTGTTATTACATGTAATATCGTAACATATTGTACGTAAATTTTATGTGTAATAACTTTGCGTGTGCATATGTATATACATATACTTTTCTTCATTCGGAGCGCCGCTTTTAAGAAAGTATATACTCTGCGTCTATTTGTAGTATTTTAAAAGTTAAAAGTTGCCTCGATTATCTTCGAAAACGAAGCGTCACATGGACGAAATTTTATTCTTCTCTTTCGACTTGCATGTAGGTTAGGTTAGGTTAGGTTGAGGTGGGGATAGCTCAGTCGGTAAAGCATCAGACTCTTAATCTGAGGGTCCAGGGTTCGAGTCCCTGTTCAGGCGAAAAAAAAAAAATGTTGTCCTTTAGGACAAACAGCATGGGAGAGCTCTGTTTGTATAAAAAGGTCCAACGTGTGGAGAACACGACGGCCATTGTGGAGGTTTTGTCTACTGGGGGTCTTCCCTGGGGGTCTT